AGAGTCTCACTTTGTCACCCTTGGTAGAGTGCTGTGGCATCACAGCTCACAGCAACCTCCAGCTCTTGGGCTTAGGCGATTCTCTTTCCTCAGCCTCCCAAGTAGCTGGAACTATAGGCGTCCACCACAATGCCCAGCTACTTTTCTGGTGTTGTTGCAGTTTGGCCGGGGCCAGGTTTGAACCCGCCACCCTCAATATATGAGGCTGGCGCCCTATTCACTGAGCCACAGGTGCTGTCCCCTGTATCTTTATTTTATAGAAAAATTAATAAATCAATCCATTTGAAAAAGATTTTTCAGCAAGGTTGGTTAAGCAGCCATGACCAAATCTACACAGTCTTTAAAACAATGTACTGGTATCACTGAGTTATGATCATACATATGACTCCTGAGGAAATCTCTGATGTGGGCAAGAGAAGCACCAGGCAGGAATAGTGTTGCTGTTAATGCTGTTTATGTACACCAAAGGATTTATATATACTAAAAGGATTTGAAGGAGATATTTAGGAACTATAGTTTCCATATATGACTCCTATTCACCTACTACGAAATTCTATATCCAGACTACATCTAAAAACTATACATCCAGAACCCATAAAAAATCCAAATAGCCTCTACTGACTTTTGGCTTAATAGCTTATCACAAATATCCACAAGGAGAGAATACTGAAATGAAAACAAGGTGAGCACAAGTTTTTACTACAGATTTTCTCCCTATTCCACAAGGAAAAATGCCAGGAGTCCCCAGAATCCAAGAATCATCTACTTAATGATATTTAAATTACCTATGGTAGCCACTGCTAGCCTTTAAATATTTTCCAAGTTGCTGTACATCTACAAAAATAATTTAAGGTGTATAAGGAAAACTGGTTTCATTGTTTTCCCCAACACAAATATCTGGAAAGGAAAAGGTTAAAAAAAAGTAGAACTAATTTTACTCATTTACAAGGCTACATATAGGAACCTATACCAATTATCCAATTTATATAGTTTGTTAGTTTTGCATATCATTGATTATTGTGTGACACAGAAACAGTATACATTAAATAGCAAATTCAGTTTTAAATAGTTTCAGGTTCCCAAGCTCAGTTTTACTTCTAAATTCCTTTATCACATGACAAAGTATTCAGCCTTTCAGTGACTCAGTTTCATCATTTATAAATAAAGCAGTATATATTTATTTATAAATTTATAAAATGTAAAGAATACCAAAACCTTAATACAACAGGAACAGTGGACTTATTACTTTAAATCCTTTTGGACTACTAAAGTATTTTCAGTTTTATACAATACTTTTCTTGTGAAGAACTCGATAGATACTCAAAATGATAAAAACTGAAAATCAAGACACAAAGGGAAACTCCAGAGAAGAAAACACAAATGTAAGGGGAAAAAATACTGGGAAAAAGGCATCAAAAACAGATCCCTTAAGTAAAACTGGTCTAAAATACAATTCACACAAGTTATGGCACTCCTCAGTTCATCTACCATATGCTAATTCCACTAAATTCCACTAATTCCCTGCCCCCTTGTTGTAACTCTTTTATCTCTGCATCCTTCCAACACAGCTCTGCTCCAAAATTATGACCACAAACACAGGGCATAGGAGAGAATATTACAATTTTATATATTAGAACTTACTATGATACTCTCAAAGTGCAATTATACTTTCAAAGATGACAATTCATTCCTTGACAATGCACTAAGGTATGTAACTTGTATGAACTTTAAGAAGTAATTTTTTGTTTAGAGAAACAAAATAACAATGCACTTTGAGGAAAAGTTCAAAAGTGTGGAAAATATTTAGCCTAGAGAACAGACTGAGGTATATGACAGCCATTTTTAAAAACTTGAAAGAACCTTTTTTCCAGAAATCCAAGGAATAGAATTAGAACAATTAAGAAAAAGATACACACTGAGGCAATGAAAAGCCGTATGAAAGCAAGCATTGTGTCTACCTTGTTCTTATGGATGTATGAAAAAAAAGAACCCAGTAACTTCTTGACATATAGTAAGTTCTCATTTTAATAAATATTAACCAACTAAATGTAAGAGCTTTCTAAGAGTCAAAATAGTTCAAAGACTGAATAGACTGCTTTGGAAGCAATGAACTCTTTGGTCACTGGACCATTACTAAGCAAATATCAGAGGGCTACTTATCAAAGCTCATGTCAGAAGGAACTAAACCTAAGGTTGCAGTCCTGGTCAATGGACATTAAGGCTCCTATAGGCTCTAACATTTTGTAATTCTAAAATGAAATTCAGAATGTAAAAGAAAAGTTTCAGACAAAGAAAGTCTTCTTGATAATTACAATCTGGAAGATGTATAAAATGTATCAATCATATACATAATATGACTGAAAATTTATCATTTTTTTCTACCAACCTTAAAGATTTTTCAACAACTTGGGTACGATAAACTTCTTCCTGGTCCAAATTTATGGTACAGAAACAATCTCTCATTTTGTTGGGTCCAAGATATGGCAACAAATTTTTTGCTTCACCTGTTGGCACAAAAATTAAAACCAGTGTTAATTATCACCAACTGTTTCATGACAAGCCTTATGTGGGACAAAGTCAATCTGAAAGAACATATTACATGTGGCATAGGGGGGAAAAATGCTATTAGGGAAAAATCAACTTTGTCTAAAGGAGACTAGTAAGACTGAAAGGAAGGCTGTGAGGTCCCTTTTTATATTACAGCACTGTATCTCCACTCCTGTGAAAGGGCAATCTTCCTGCTTGTATTCTGTGTCCCATCTCACCACTGCTACTTCAAGGATTTAACTCCACAATTAATCCTTTCCTGAATCAGCATTAATCTTCCTCTCTAGAGCACTGTTCCCTTCAGCACTAAGCAAGCACTGAAATTTCTTAATTTTAAAAAAGGAAACAACAACAACAAAATCTTCCTTGACTCTTCCTCCTCCCTCTTGATATCACTCCATTTCTTGACTCCCTTCTCAAACTTCCCAAAAGGATCACCTCTAGTCATTCTCCATTTCCTCACTTTTCACTCTTTCTTCAACCCTCTCCAATCAGCTTCCGACACTGCAGTAACACTGAAACTGCTCTGAAGTCACCAATGCCTTCCATACTGCAAATCCGATGGTGATTTCTCTTTGCATCACACCTGATGTTGCAGCACTGTTTCAAACAAACGAACATTAACATCCCTCTTTTTTTTTGAGGCTGTCCCCCCTAGGTAGAGTGCTGTGGCTTCACTGCTCACAGCAACCTCCAACTCCTGGGCTCAAGCGAGTCTCCTGCCTCAGCCTCCCAAGTAGCTAAGACCACAGGCACCCACCACAATGCCTGGCTATTTTTGGTTGCAGCCGTCATTGTTGTTTGGCAGGCCCGGGCTAGATTCAAACCCGCCACCTTAGGTGTATGTGGCTGGTGCCTCAGCCACTTGAGGCACAGGTGCCAAGGCAACATCCCTCTTTAAAATGCTGTCTTCTCCTGGCTTCCACAACACAGTATTTCTGGCTTTCCTCCTATACCACTGGCCCTCTGCTGACTCCTCCCCCACCCTCACCTCTACATGTTACTGTGCCTCAGGGTTCAGTTTTAGATCACCTTCTCTTCCTTATCCAATGCAAAGACCTGCAGTATATGCAATTAATGCTTCTACTTCTTAAATCTGCATCTCCAGACCTGACCTTTTCTCCTCAACACTAGATATGAATTGAAAATTCAGTAGGCATCTCAAATTTAACAAGTTCCAGACCAACTATATAGTTTTCTTCCCTAAAACATGACCTTTCCCCAGTATATCACCATCTTCTCTTATGCTCACCATCCTCCCACTAGCTCCCCCATACCCATACCCAATAAATCCAGCAGACTGCTAAAATAAATCCCAAATCCAACCACTTTTTATTGTCTTCACTGAAATCAGCAAGTCCAAGCCACTATAATCTCTCATTTGGACAAACATAACAGCTTCCTTGCTGGTGTCTGTGTTCCCACTTTTGCCTGGCCTACAATCCACTTTCCATCAAGCAGTTTGAGCTTTTAAGCATATTATCTAGGTCAGTCATTTCCCTGTGGCAATACCATATCACTGGACAGATAATAAAGTCCCATTTCTATACTATGGTCTCCACTACTACTGAACTGTCCACTCTGGCCTCTTCTCCTCCCCCTCCGCCCCACCCCCCACCCCCTGCACCCACCCTGGGTTCACTTTCTTTCCATTAATCAACTGTGCCACCATTCATCATGTTCAAGCTTAGGGCCTCTTCCTGGAACGCTCTACCCATAGAACTTCACCTGGTTGTTGCTTTCTTATTCAGGTCTCAGCTCAAATGCCACTACCTCAGAAAACTTCCCTGACTATTCTCCTTCTCCGCTTTGTTTCCTGGATAACATTCACAATTGTCTAAACCTCTGTTAATTTTTACTTATGCTTTTTTTTTTGTTTCCCAGTTCTTGAGGCCTAAGAACTTATTGATCCCTGTGATCTAAATAGTGATTATCATATAGATATGTGAGAAATATTTGTTCAAGAAATGAATATGAAAGAACTAAGACTAGTTTTTAAGTTCTCATGAGATACTTATGGGCCAAATGGACACACACAAGTGTAGGTGCTGAAATCAGTGCACCATTATACTAGGAAAGTAACATAGTTGGCATAAGAGAAAAAGCATTATCCTAAGAATCACATAACCAACATTCCTGTCTTTTTTTTTCCAATTATTCACATTTATTTATTTATTTATTATTTTATTTTTTATTTTTATTGTTTATATTCCTGTCTTAATTTCATACAAGTCGCTAAACCTTCCTGACGAAGGTTTGGACTATTTAAACTCAAGCATCTTTCTCCTTTCAACTTTAAAGGCAGGCCATTGAAACCAGAATCTTTCAAAGAAGTCTATTAGGAACCTAAGAAGCACCCATAAAAAATTCAATAAACATGTAATTTATAAAAATTAAAATAAAAAGTCAATGGAAAGGTAGAAGTAATATCCTCTTTTTATTAACTTTGTTACTGAGCAATTCTTTAAAAATGAAGTTTAAAAATGGAATAAACAAATTTATGTTCTTCTTAAGTCATAATCAAGGATTTTAACCCTTGCCCCAAATTGCCTAAAATGGCTTGGTCCTCACAAATAAACCAGCTCTCCAAAAGGAAAAATAATATATATAAAAATATATATATCTGAATCTATATCCATCGTAAGGCACACCTTACTAAATCATAACAATCTCTGTCTGGCTTTCTTTCATTATATCTGGTCTCTGCACATTTGAGTTTGTAACTCCTTACCAGTTAATCTTCTAGGTTCCCCCAAACTGTAAAATTCTGAAAGACAAGATTTGAAATTTTGGAAGCACAGGATAAACCAGGTGTGGTGGCTCACGCCTATAATCCTAGCACTCTGGGAAGCCCAGGCAAGTGGAGTGCTTGAACTCAGAAGTTTGAGACCAGCTTGAGCAAGAGTGAGACCCTGTCTCTATTAAAACAGAAAAATTAGCCAGGTGTGGTAGTAGGTGCCTAGTTCCAGCTATTTAGGAGGCCAAGGGAGAAGAATCACTTGAGCCCAGGAGTTTGAGGGTGCTATGAGCTACAATGACACTACTGCAGTCTACCCAGGGCAACAGAGTGAGACCCTGCCTCAATAAATACACCAACAAACAAATAATATAAAAAGCACAGGATAACACTGATTTTTCATGTTTTTAGATATTACTGTCTTTGCCAATTTAAGCTAACAAACACTACAAGAACTAAATTTATACATGTAAGTATACTTTAGTAAATTTATGTTAAATAAGTCATTAAGAAAACTATGAAAATATACTTTACTGAGGATCACTACTACGTGTGTTAGAGCCAACACTTAACTACAGTACAATATGCCAGGCTGTCACTCAATCTTTTCATAATGACCCTATAAATTTAGTAAAACTACTATTCTCACTCTATAGACAAGGAAATGAAGGCTTTGTGAGGTTAAGTGAATACTAGAAAAATAGTAGAAAACCATGCTTTCAACATGCTACATTATCCTTTATCATCTAATCAATTTTCACATGCTTATCATAATAATAAATATTCTGCATAGGCTAAAGAAATCTTACATAGGAAAAGAACTGTCCCATTCATGTATCTTTAACAGTTCTCAATGGAAAAAGGAAGAAAAGACCTGCCTTTATCATATATGACCTTCCAAATAGTCTCACATTCACAACTCCTTCAGAGTATGTCAGACTGCTGTAGTGTATGGAGACAAAGGAAAAAAAGGGGGGGGGGAGTGTTAAGAACCAGAGAAAAGAAAAAAAGTGGAGCAGCATCTGTGGCTCAGTGAGTAGGGCTCCAGCCCCATATACTGAGGGTGGTGGGTTTAAACCCGGCCCTGGTCAAACTGCAACAAAAAAAATAGCTGGCACAATTGTGGCAGGTGCCTATAGTCCCAGCTACTCGGGAGGCGGAGGCAATAGAATTGCCTAAGCCCAAGAGTTGGAGGTTGCTGTGAGCTGTGACACCACAGCACTCTACTGAGGGCGACAAAGTGAGACTCTGTCTCGAAAAGAAAAAAAGTTATGCAGCTGTTATTTCCCCTCTTTAGTTGTCATCTTGAAAACACCACTGGAAAGTTAAACATCAACGATATTAATCAGACAGAGAATGAGTAACTACATCAGTAAGCATATGGTAACTTCTGAAATATCTACAAGTAGAGTTTTCCAATGCATAAATTAACATAGATAACTTGAATGTCAAGCAATTTTCTTCACTCTCTAGAAATGATACACATATATCTATAAAATAATCCAAGATTCTATAATCCTATTCAGCTGGTGGGATTATAGAATTTAGATATTAGAATCTTTAAAAAAAAAAACACATTAAATAATTTCTACCAGAAATCTGGTTTGGCTGTGTGTGGTGGCTCACACCTGTAAGTCTAGCACTCTGGGAAGCCAAGGTGGGAGGATCGCCTGAGCTCAGGAGTTTGAGACCAGCCTGAGCTAGAGTTGAGACTCTATTTCTAAAAACAGCCAGGCACTATGGTGGGTGCCTGTAGTCCCATCTACCTGGGAGGCTGGGGCAAGAGGATCACTTAAGCCCATGAGTTTGCTATGATGCCACACACTCTACCCAGGGTGACAAAGTGAGATTCTCAAAAAAAAAAGAAAGAAAGAAAGAAAGAAAGAAAGAAAGAAAGAAAGAAAGAAATCACTCTGGTTCTGCCTAGGGCACTATGATAAAACAAGGTAGTATCACTGAGCAAGCACTTGAGTGGGCACAGGAATCCAACACAGACTAGGTAGTTAGCCTAGACTCAGTGAGCAAAGAATAGGTTTTTGTGGCTACAAAACCCAAACTATATATAAACGAAACTCCAGACAAAGTATAAAGTCAAGGTTAAGGCATAAATTCCACTGCACCTCAAAAATATTCTATTAGGTAAGCTGCAACTCCTCAGTGGGAAAGTCTACTGAACATAATTAGGGGCCAGTTGTATACAAGTCATGTGCATGGTAACTA